TCTAGCACAGCTCTTCTCCGATTTTCCGGACAACGCGACAAGGGCAGCGCGCGCAGCCCTCGGCAGCCGCTTCCTTCCTACCCCGGGGAAGCGCGGCCCCCGCCCCGCCCCCGCGTGCCTGCGGGATGATGCCCTGCTGGTCCTTCTCCTGCTTGCCCATCATGGTGTAGGACTTCCCCGCCCCGGTCTGGCCGTAGGCGAAAATGCAGACATTGTAGCCCTCGAAGGCGTGCTGCAGCATTTCCTCGCCAATGTCCCTGTACACCTGCTTCTGCGACGCGTAGTTGATGTCCTCGGGCTGCAGGACAAGAGGGGCTCCGCTGCAGGAGGCCGGGCATGCCACATCCCGGGGCCTCCGGGGCGCCAGGGCCTGCACACGGGGAGGGACACCTGCCCGCCGCCCACTCGCAGGCCCTGAGGGAGGGGACAACCTCCTTCCTGGGGGGTGGCTTCCTGAGAGGGGGTCGGGGAGGAGAAGGGTGGTTCAGCAGAGGGAACAGCATGAGTGAAGGCTCGGAGGTGGGAGCGTGTGACATGGTGCGTGGCAGTGGGCAGGGGTGGGGCTGGAGAGAGGCAGGGCCCAAGCCCAGGGGGCCCACGGGCCCAGCTATAGCGTCTGGACACTGTCCTGACGATGGGAGGAGGTGGGGCTGGATGTACGGTGGAATGGAGAACCCTGGCGGCCGTTCTGGGGACCGGGCAGTCAGCGGTGTGAGCTGGGTTAGGCTGCCTTCTAGAAGGATTCGGGGGGGGGGGGGGGTTATATGGTCAGGGCTGGGTATGGACTGGCAGGGGGGAAGGTCCAGGGATCCCCCAGGATCCTGGGGGAAGTGGAGGTGCTGCCCGTGGCGGGTGAGCTGGTGGGACACCAGGGAGTAGGTTCAGCTGTGGACACGAATTTGGGAAGGGAGATGGTGGCGAGCAAATGGATGAACAGCTTGGATGCTGGGAAACTGCCCACAGTGAGCTCAGGCCCCATTCCACAGCTCAGGGTGAGCGTCTGCACACAAGACAACTTAGGAAAGCGGGACCCTCCCTCCAGGCCTCATACCTGTCCCCTCCCCCACCTCCCACAGGGCCCTGCAGGGGAGGAGAGTGGTTATCACCCCATTTAGAGAGGAACTTGCAGATCAGAGGCTGAGAGACTGGCAGAGGGCCATGCAGGCAGCGAGGGGCTGAGAGGCCCACCTCCCCTGGGCCCCCAGCCTTACCGAGGTATGCGACCAGTAGGAATAGTCGAAGCTGAAGCTTTTGGGTGTCTCCTTGGGCTGTTTGGGGTTAACAATGGCTGTGGGGAGGGGCAGAGGCATGGTGATTAGTACTCTGCTGCTGGTGGGGGGTGGGGGAGGGGGAGCCAATGGGCACATCGGACACACCCACCCGAGAGGGACCCTAAGGCAGGGAGGCGAGTCCTCAAGCCAGCCCCCCAGCAGGCAGACAGCCCACTCTGCCCCATCTGTCTGAACCCTGCTGCCCACCAGTGCCCCTGAGGGCAGCTGGAGCTGTTCCCTCCTGCAGACAGAGGGTCAGATGAGCCCACCCCCACCTCTCAGCTACAGCCTGCTCACCCCCTCAGCCCACTGGGTAAGGGGGTGTGTGCAAAGGACTCTGAACCCCTGCATCTGCTCTGCATGCATGTGCCCTGGAAGCACCCGGAAGGCTGGGGTATCCTGTCACGGCCGTGGCCCTGTGTCTTTCGGGCCATCAAGGCTACACGGTGCGTCTGTGCACTGAGCACCTAGGGCGCACGGGCTGTCCCCTCACGAGGACAGCGCAGCTCATTCCTGTCCTGTGGGTGCACTGCAGGCTCCTTCCAGGTGTGCTTTCACGGGCCTCACAGGACTGTCCTCCGCACAGGTCCTTCCTCCCTCCTCCCCCGAGGCCGTGCTCAGCTCACAAAATATCAGGTCATCAAAATAGAATGCGGCCATGAATGCACAATGTCATCGTCCACTGCCAGCGCCTGCTTGGTGTCCTGAGAGCCCCCGCCCCAGTCCCTGGCTGCTTTGCCCCAGGTTTGCGAGCGCCCGGCCCCGGCGTTTCCTGGCCCCCGAGCCCAGCAGGCAGCATGTCTTTGGTGGTCAGGCAAGAGGGACCTCAGCTCCCATCCCTGTCAGGCTGCCCTGCCCACTGCCCGCTATCTGAGCCCAAAATGTCCAGGTTGCTAGAGGCCCCTGAGGCCCCCGGAGGCTCTGCCCTGCTGGAGGCAGACCCCTCCCTAGTTTTCACGTCCACCAGGAACTCAGACCAATCCTGTTCAGGAAGGGCTTCAAGGTCATGTGGGAGGCCACGCCCCCCCATGTCGTCCCATCTGAGGAGGCAGCACCCCCATGTTTCGGGATGGAGGCCATGGCTGCTTACCCCTCCACTGGCTTTCCTCAGGGACTGTGGGCTGGGACCTCGCCTTCCTAGGCACGGCACGGCCTCCAGGACCCCACACCCCTGCCCCCACTAGGTGACCTGTCACCAGCACCAAGGGAACCAGACCCCGCACTGTCATGGTTTGAATTATATCCCCTCAAAATTCACACGTGGAAGTCCTAACCCCCAGGACCTCAGAACGTGGCCTTATTTGGAGATGGGGTCCTTGCAGATGTAACGAGTTAAGACGAGGCCACACTGGGGTCAGGCGGGCCCTAATCCAACATGACTGGTGTCCTTATAAAAGGGACATTTGACACAAACACGCACACAGCGAGCAAACCATGCAAAGATGGGGTACAGATGGGGTGATATGTGTACAAGCCAGAGGACACCGAGGACTGTGCAGCCACCAGGAGCTGGGAGGGGCAGGGAACCCATCTCCCCAGGGCCTGAGGAGGAACCAGCCCGGCCAACACCTTGACCTCGGGCTTCCCGCCTCCAGACTGATGTCTAAGCTGCCTGTCAGGAGCTTTCTGTCGGCAGCTCTGGGAAGCGGGCAGTCCCACCCTGGTGAGCAGCTTCCGCAGCTGTCCCAGCCCAGTGGCCATTAGCTCTGGCTGAACGTCCTCCTCACAGCACAGGTGTTACCTGAAGCCCTGAACTCAGGGATGACCTGGCTTTGGGCCCCTGACCCTGGGCTTGAGGACTTCTGGGAGATGACCCGGCACCCTCAGGAAGCCCCAGGACGGAGCAGGTGACTGACCATCACAGCCCTGTGCTCAGAGCCAAGAGGACATGCTGCCTCCGAGAGCAAGGCCCAGAGGAGAGCGAGCTGCCCTGGGGCCTGGGGACAAGGCCACCGGAACCCCGGGCGCAGATAATGGCAGCACCATAGAAACAACAATTGCAGCACCTCCGGGCACAGGCAGCCGGGGCTGGGCCTCTGCCAGCTCTGGCAGCAACAGGCATGGCCCCCGGCTCGCCCTACCAACGCCCTCCTCCGTCACTTCGTCTCCTCACCGCCCTGCAGCACAGCCGGGGTCCCAGGACAAGCCTAGACTCCCCACCCCAGGTCTCAGGACAGTCCCAGCCCCCCACCTGCCCTTCCATCTGAGGCGGGCTCCCCTACCCTGGCTCTCTGAGCAGGCCTGGCCCCCCACGCCCCACCCCCACCCAGCCTGCTCTTTTGTCCAAACGACACTTGCCCAGCCCCGGGCCCTGACCTTGCACAGATGGTGCCCTGGCACTGGGTTGTTTGCCACACACCCTACGTGGACCCTAAGCTCCCTGAGGTAGGTGCTCCCCCAGGGACAGGGCACAGGTCTGGCTCAAGGAACTCTGGGTGGGCAGAGGACAGCCAGTGGCACAGGTAAGTGGGAAGGGAGCGGGCCATGATGACAGCCCGCCATGGGGACCTCCAGGCAAAGCTGCTCCGGCCCTCAGGCCCTGCCCCCACCGCCTCTCTTGGTGCCATGGTGTGGCTGACCCCTGGGGGTCCTCTGATATCTGAGAAAGACCCTCTCTCATTACAGATGGGACCCTGAGGTCCACAGGGGACTCACTCTGCCCAGGTCACAGGGCACACAGCTGGACTGGAATCCAAGGTCCGCCCTAGGCCTGGCTCTCCACCGATGCCTCCAAGCCCTCAGGGCAACCTGCCAAGGCCAGGGCCAGACTGGCATTCCCACCCCCACCATCAGCCTGCTGTGCACCAGAAGGGGCGGTTTTGCAGGACAAAAGCCTTCCCTCACAGGGTCTGGGGCTCTTCCTGTGTGGGTTGGAGCAGTGAGGCGGAGAACGGGCCCTCCGGCTTGTGAGCACGTGCCTCTGGGCCCTGAGAAACTCCCCGAGACACTCCTGAGCCCCCCCCCCACCCGCCCAGGGCCAGCTGCCCAGGGCTCTGCAGGAGCAGCAGAGGGGCCAGTGCCCTGAGGGACAAAGACGTGAGCTTGGGGGCGCCAGCTTGAAGAGGGAGGCGACCAGGAGGAGGAAAGGCGCTGAACAGAAGCCATTTTCTCAGCCTGAATGCCCTGCGATCGTGTCACCGCGAGAGGCCCACAGTGCCTCCTGCGCAGCAGCCCTCCAGGGCGCCTGCTGTTAGACAAGCCATGGGGACAGGCTACACTACAGAGCCAGAGCCGGGCATAGACATGGCGGGGAGAGGGGGGCGGACGGGTGGGAGAGGGGGGTGCTGGTTTTTTACCAGCAGGCCACTGCCCCAAACTTGCTGGATTTAGCAGGTGACATAGCTGAAACAGAGACCAAAATCTCAGGGGGTTCCAGGAAGTTAGCTCGACGTCCATCCGTCCAGCACTTGGCAGTCTGCACTAACTGTCCAGTGAGCCCACAGGAGACGCCCCTCGTCCCCTGCTCCTCACTGACAAGGAAGGCTTTTTCCTATTGATCTAGTCATCTCACGGGCCCCACTGCACCTCAGCAAGTCTCCCCGCCCCATCACTACATCCTACCTTATTCTACGGGCATGGCCCTTGGTACTGGCCAGTCTGCTTCCATCTCGTTACTCTCACGTGTACATCGCCCATCTGCCCGCCGGAATGTCACCCAAGGGCAGGGAGAGCCTCTGTCCTGCTCCCTGGACTCCATGCCCCGAGTGGAGCCTGGTACAAACTCATGCCTGGCAAATGTTTGCCAGTGATGTGAAGGGACCCCATCTCCACCTTCTTCTGCCCGTGCAGCCACATGTGGTAACATGACCTCACAGAACCTTGCTGTCCCCATCTGTCCTATGGGGACAGTCCTCATCCTTGTGAGACTATATAGGGAGAGCAGACGGGGTCACCATTGCAGCCCTGCAAGCAGAGAGCCCATCTCAACTCTAACGGTGGGCTTCCAGGGGCAGGGCAGCTCAAGGCCTCTGAGCTGTCCCTGGACAGTGCTGTTGGGGGCACCAAGGGCCTCTCGGCCTGGGGCCAGCCAGTGACAGCAGGCCCCCCGTGACCTGGGCTGAGGCTGCTGCCCAGGGACCCGCTACCCTCCTACAATCCCTCCTTCAACATCGCGTGTCTTGAGCCATTCCCCTAATCAAGGGGCCTACAGCAGTGTCACCGACTCCTTGGCCATAGCCAAGCTCCCTTCTGTGGTCTTTCATTCCAGGTCTCACTCTATTTGGAGCCTAGAACATTCCAGGACAGTAATGGCAAATGGGGGCTGACCTCTCAGGAGAGTTAGGTGTTGAGACTGCACAGCATTGGGGCCTTTATGAGAAAGACCGCCATGAGCAACTCGCAGTGTGTTTGGTCAGAGAAGGGTCCAGAATGTCCCAGTGCACCACCCAGCATGGTGGTCCATTCCCTGAAAACACACTGGGACCAACTTGCCAGGATCCAGGAGGGCTGGAAGCAGGAAGGCCAGGCTGCTACCCACTCTTCAGCACCCCTTCACAGCCTGGCACCCAGAGCCTTGGCTCAGGGTCTGCTTCTAGGGACCAACACCATTCATAAGAGTCACGAGGAACCCCCAGATGTGCAATGGGCACTGTGTCCCACAGCTCCCCCAACCCACAAGCTCTGAATGAGGCCTCCACAACCTGCCCACACAGAAGAAAGGGCCACAGAGCTCCACGCCTCTGGAAAGACCCCATTCCAGAACTCAAAGGAGCCCAGAACATCCCCAGGGACGCCAGAATCCTCACTCCTCTGCAGGCCTAGGCCGGCTGCCGCCGCGAGCCCGAGTGCCCTGGGAGGTCCCTCCCTCCTAACCAGGTAGATAACAGACAGGTGCGGGTTACACAGGCGTGGAACACCTGAGGACGGGCAAGGCCTGCCGTCATCCCTCAACCTGAGCACAAGGAAGCAAGAGGGCCGTGGTGCCGGCCGCTCGGTGTAGCTCACTCACAGCTGCAGCTGCTTGAGGGACCCAAAGTGCTAACAGCCCAGCTGAGCCCAGTTGACTGCAAACGGGGGGAGACACGGAGGAATCCTTGTTCTAAGTCACTGGGCGTTGGGGTGGGCTGTTAGTCAGCAGGAGATAACCCAAACACTGGCTCTATTTCCATGGGACCCGAAAGAAGCCTCACTAAGCTAGGGGTTAGAAGCAAGGACACTGGCTCCCCCCTGGAGTAAGGATGGGCGGGCGGGGGGCGCTTCTGCCCTGGGTCTGGGTGCCGCTCGGACTGCGCTCAGACGGCGAGCTCTGCCCCCTGTCTGCATGCATGCTGCAACTCACTACAAACGCTTGTGATAAAGTGTCAAGGGGCGGCTGGTAGGTGTGCCCTCCCTCCTGCCTCCAGCAGCCCCAGCAGCCGGGATCCTCTGCACTACAGACCCCTCAGGACACGACCTTTTCAAATTGCCCTTCTCTCTCTTCCTCCTTCCCACTTCTCAGAAGGTTCTGAGATGGCTTCAATTAGAAACAAAGCAAAAGAACAGACAAAGGAAAACAATTTATGGACCTATGGCAGTTGATATAAGATGAGGAAGGAGTAACCGTGTGCACCCCAAAATCACGTCCCCCCAAACCTCAGAAGGGAACCTTATTTGGAAACACGGTTTGTGTAAACGTGATTAGCTGTTAAGATGAGGTCACAAGTGTAGGGTGGGCCCTGAATCCAATGATCGGTGTCCCCATGAGACATCCACATGAAAACATGACATGCCAGCCCTGTCAACGCTGTGATTTCGGGCTCTGGCCTTCAGAACTGTAGAGAATACATGAATGCGGTTTTTAAGCCACCCAGATTGTGGTCATCTGTTACTGCAGCCCCAGGAAGCCGACACCACAAGTGGACGAGGAGGGAGCAGGGGCCCAGTGGGCTGCTTGTCTGGCATGGACGCCAGGACCCGTGGCCCGAGCGAGCGACCAGCAGCCTCGGGAAATACTCACTGGTGGTGCTTCCTGACATCTGGATGATGCACTTGGAGTCGCGGCTCATTTCCCGGGAATTGAAGGGGCGGACACGCACCGCCACCTTCACGGAGGCGCCCGCCATCTCTGCGAACTTCGTCAGTCACTCCTAGTAGCAGCGGGAACCCCAGCAAGAACAGAAGACACCTTGGGAAAAAGGGAGACGTGAATTAGAAACAAGAGCCGAAGGTGGAACGGGTGTTTCCAGTCGGCAATTGAACGCACTCCCCTCCAAAACCTGCTAAGTGACACCTGCTCACAGCACTGATCCACAGGGATGAGAAACTGCCGGGGCAGCTGAGGAACATCAGGCATTTTAGAAAAGAAAGCCAACGAATGGTGGAGCCTGGCTTAGCACGCCCAGGAAAGGTAGAGCCTAACGGGAAACAAGCCCCTTTGCTCTGGGGGACCCAGAAAGCCTCTAGCCAGGTACCTCTGAAGACTGGCATCTGAGGGGACTGGAAACGAGCATTTGTGGAAAGTCAGTGGAAGAAGCGTTAGACCTTGTCGTGGTTTGAATTATAGCTCCTCAAAATTCACACGTGGAAGGAAGCCCTAAACGCCAGGACCTCAGAACGTGGCCATATTTGGAGATGGGGTCCTTGCAGATGTAACTGGTTAAGACGAGGCCACACTGGGGTCAGGTGGGCCCTAATCCAACATGACTGGTGTCCTTATAACAGGGGACATTTGGACAGAGACACTCGCAGGGAGAATGCCCTGTGAAGACAGACGCAGAGATGGGGTGATGTGTCTATAAGCCCAGAGACATCAAAGATTGGCAGTAGCCACCAGAAGCTGGAAAGGCCTAGAACAGATTCTCCTCCACAGCCTCAGAAGGAACCAGCCCTGCCGACACCTTCATCTTGGACTTCCTGCCTGCAGGCTGTGAGACAAGAGTGTTCTGTTGTCTGAGCCACACTGTCGGTGGTACTTTGTTACGGCAGCCCCAGCAGACTAACCAAGAACCCCAGACTCCCATCCCCACCCTGGGAACATCCAGGACCCTGCCCCCCAATACCCCATGCCCCACCAGGCAAGAGGCCAGAGGTTATTCTTTGAGAGAGTGAGGCTCCGTCCAGCCTGGGAGTGCTGGGGGTGGTCTGAGGGCCAGCTGAGGGAGGGTGTGAAGCACCTACTGAAAAGGGGTCTGCACTACACCCAAAATGTCCAGCAGTGGGACCCCAGCCTCCTCCTCCTGGTGCTGTTGGGCCCCCAGCATGCTGGCTGTCACTCGAGAGTGCAGGGTTCTTTGCTGGGGAGACTGACCAGGACCACACCCTCCAGCAAGAAATACAGAGACTAAAACAAGTAGAAAAGGAACACAACAGAAAGAGACAATGCAGTGAAGAAAATGGTTTTTTAAATACCTTATAATTCATATCCTCAGGAAGAAAAGTTACTACACCCATGAATAAGCAGAGGATGCTATTGGGTTGTTGGAAAAGTCATGACGTCTTTTTTCTATGTTTTTCGTTGCAAAAATGCGTCATGACTTTTCCGACAACCTGATATTTTACAAAGGACCATTTAATGAATAAGAACAAGTTCCTGGAAATTAAGAATATAAAAACAGAAACTTTAAAAGTAAATAAAAAGTTGGAAATACAATTAAGTAATTTTCCATGAAAGGAGAGAAATAAAACTTGAGGATCAATGAAAAGAAACTATTAAGGACATAATTCAAGAAAACTTCCCAGGACTGACAGTCACGAGTTTCCAAATTCAAAGGGTCTACCTACCTACCCACCGGCAATAAAAAGTCTCAGGACAAGACAAATTATGAGATTTCGGAAACTCGGGGCGGTAATGAAAAGGCACTTTCAAACTTCTGAGGAACGGTGACTGTTAGCCAAGAATTCTAAGCTCATCCAAACTCTCAGTCAAGTGTGAGGGTAGATCAAAACCCAGGACGACTCTGGAAGATGCCAGAATCTGCGCTCCAGCAAGTGAGGGAGGAAACGGGAGGGAGCGAGGGAGACGGGGGGTCCAGGCCCACAGGATGGCGAAGGGGCTCCCAGGAGGACACTGGGGGACGCCCCTGACTGGAGGGCGACGGAAGGGACGCCACCGAGAGAAGCTGAGCTGCGCCACACGGAGAAGTGTCCTTCAGAGGGTCCGATGCTGCCACGGTGCGGCGGGGGAAAGGCCTGCATTATTTACCATTTATTCCAAAACAAAATGTTCTACAAGAAAGAAAAGAGAAGCCCAAACCACTCCTGAGAGTAGCAGGAAAGAATACCTACTAGTCCTATTAGTGTAAACACAAAGTACGAATTCAACAGCAGCAAAGGAGCTATGGGGGGAAGACGGGGGGAAAGTATTGTGTATGGCGGGGGTCCAGGCAGGCGACAAGCTCTAACACTGGGACTCTAACGGGTTAGATAAAACAGAACTGAAGAAACAGCAGTGAACCCTGACACGTGAGTGATTTGAGGGTAAACACCAGAGACCCCTGGGGGAGCTGAGCAGTGCCTGGGGGGGACAGCACGAGTGGGAGCTGTTTGTCACAAGTTGCCTCGTAGCCCCATTCAACTGTGACACTATGTTGACATGTGTTCCTTTGGCAAAAATTGAAGAACAAATAAAAGGAGAAAACCCTGGGCAGGACACTGCTGCTGGAGCCCAGCAGTGCTCAGAATGGAGGCCAGGGAGCAGGGGACCCATGCAAGGCTGTGGCTCCAGGGTGAAGCCCGCCAGCTGCCCAGGCCTCCGCGCCACAAGAAATGAGAGCAGCGGGGTGCCAGGAGCCAGCAGCTGCAGTGTGGCTATGATTCCGTGGGGCCTGCTCTGCAACAACCTTGGCGAGTGTGAAGGTGACTCCCACATCCACTTGAAGGTCACCTTCACACTCACACCGAGGAAGCAGCTCTTCCTGAGGACGCAGGCCCGTGGGGTGGGCTTCGCACCCGGTCTGTGCTGGGCCGAGCGTGAGCGCCAGCTCGAGAGGACTGCCCCTGGGTGCTAGGAGCGCACGGATCAGGGATGAGTGGACACAGCAGTGCCTGCTGCAAGATGTGGACGAGATGGGAGGGTAGGCAGGACGGGGGCTTCCCCATGGGAGGGTCCCAGGCCAAGGAGGTGGGGACTTGGGGAGCAGCAAGGCCTGCACTCGGCGAGGGGCACCCCCATGACACCCTATCCTTCCCCTTGCAGAGGTTGGCCCCTGGGCACCCACCCACCTGCCCTATACATAGGACAGCACCCAGGCTGAGATGCCCAAAGGGAACCCTGGGGAGAGAAGCAGGCCAGGTGGGCAGGTGCTCCTGTTGGTGGCAGCCTTCCTCCTGCCTTGGGGCAGCGCCTGGCACACAGGGCACCAGCCCTCTCCCGGCCCACGCCTCCAATCAGGCCTCGCACTTCAGTGAGGGACAAGTGAGTTTCATCCAATACAGTGGACTGTGGTCCCCTCCTCTGGGCACGTCCTCTGGGGACCCTAGGACCGAGAGCAGGAGAAGCCTGTGGAGGACCTGGGGCCCACTTTCTCTGCAGATGGAGAGGGGAGCACGGCGAGAGCTGGGGTCCATGCAGCCTTCGAGCTGTCAACCCCCAGGCTCTGCCCAAGGCCAGCTCCTTGACCCCTCAGAACTCCCAGAACAGGCAGGACACGGAGCAGGACTATCCCCTCAGGCAAACACAGCGCTTCCAGAGACTACAGGGAGCGAGGGAAACGCCAGACCTGCCGACAACTGGGGAAAGTCGTAGCACATTTGGGCTGGGGTGGGAAGAGTAAAAGCAAGGTCATGAATTCCCGGAGAGAACGCGAATTGAAATGAGATCTCTTGCAAGCATTTAGTGACGTGCCTTGTGCCTTAACAACAACAAAAAAAGCTGTATCCTCTGACTAAGTAATCCCAAGTACTGAAACAGGAAATAATTAGAAATGAAAAAAATACTTATGAAAGGAGATGTTCAATTTGTTATTGCAAAGTTTTCAGCTCTCTTACAATTGAGCTAAATTAATTCAGTGCAAGTCCAATAAGCAAAATGTTCTAGTAGGACTTGCAGTGGAATTTGCCAAGAGTTTGGAAGAAGAGCAAGGGAGGGGGGCATCCCTTACAGGCTGTTACATTTACTATAAAACTATAATAATTTCCAAAGTCCAGTAATGACACACAAATAGAGAGCTCGATGGAAAGGACAAAGCATGACCACAGACAGACAGACAGACATGCACACAAAGTCCAACAATTGTTAAGGCAGCATCTCAGGGAACCAGGTAAGATTGGCATTGGGACAACTGGTCCTCCCATATTGAAAAAACAGAACTAGAACTTTATCTTTGGCAGCATTACAAGAACATATAGGAGACTCTGCTGTGGCTCTGGGGTAGGGACGATGCCTTAGCACCCAGCAGGAAGCAAAGGAGCGCTTCTGCCTGCAGGCGGCGACGGGGCAGCAGAGCGACCTCCTTCCCACCCTGCAGCCTACAGGAGCTGGATACAGTGGGAAATCTGCTTCACAGAATCAGTGAGCTACCGCAGCCACGCAGACCAGCAGGCCAAGATTCCAGGGGTGGGGGACTGCCGGGCAGGGGACAGCACCCGACATCTGCAGCACTTCCTCCCTGAGCGTGTCTACATTCTGGTCACTGGGCAACAGGCAGGAATCTGGAGTCTTCCCAGGCAGGAAGCCGTGGCTGAGGGATGGAGGAACTTGCAGAGGCTTTTGGTCAAGAGAAACAAACATGAGAGGCCAAAATCCCAGGAGAAAGAAGGAGAGACAAATGGCCAGTTCGCCCCTTAAGACGTGTGCCAAACTCTGAAGGTATGAGGAGCGGATGTTTAAATCCTGAAGCAGAAAGCATCTGGAAGTCCAAGAGGAGTCTTCCGTAATCTCAGGTGGTAAGGAGACAAAGATTGGAGTCCAGGAGCCGTGGGAGGAGGGCCCTAGTGACCCCACCAGGCCGGATTTGAAAGGCCTGGAAGGCACAGACTCGAAAGGCAAAAAGGCAGAACTATAGGCAGGAGAAGCCCTGTCGAAACTGCCCTGACTCAGCCTAGTCTCTGACTGCCTTAGGGACGACCCTCCTCTCCATCTGCCTGGAAAGAGTCCACGAGCTGCAGCCTCGACAGTGTTTCAATAGGTAATGTCTGACGTTAAGTCAAAAGTTACAAGGCATGAAAAGCGACAGGACTATATGATTT